CTTTTCTGTCTTCAATCATTTTTAGGTTAATTTTTAGATTTTAACTTGGAGAGATTCACTGCTTATTTCACATAGGAAACAGGTTTAATTTTTAAATTTTCCAGTTGAGAACTAATCATTTAAAATTTTATTTTAAAATTACAATATTTTTCTTAACAAACAGAGCAGTTGGTAAAAGAAACAACAATAAGGTATCTGTTACCAGATACTTTAATATGTTTTGAACTTATCTGCTTAAAAAAATAAGCGTGAAATAACTGTGCTTGAGTTGAGGTTCACTTTAAGCCAAAAAAGGCCAATGTCTTTTAATTAAAAATAATGCCTCACTGATGTGACTTTTTTGTCTTTTAAAAAATTATATATGTTTAAGGTATACAACATGATGTTTTGATATACACATACAGAGTGATACATAGTGATCTGTCTACTACAGTTAGGCATATTAACATATCTGTCGTAGAATATAGTGATGTGGTGTTTTTAAATAGGTTTCTTCTGTAGCTCCTAAAGTGGTAAGTGGCATGGAGAAAATGTAGTTCAATGAAAATATGACAACCTAAATGGAAAGGAACTTTTTTTCATGGTTTAAACCATGTACCATATTGGAAAGAATCACCAGCTGGAATGGTGAGGGATACATTTGGGACTGGAAAGGCTGAGAAGTGTATACACTCTCATGTCATCCAGACCAGGAGGGGGCATCTGTTTACTTTTGGTAGAGAAGGCAGACACGTCAAATGGGATTCTTTTATTTCAAACTTCATGAGAATCATTTTTTCAGTTACGGAGCTGTAGAAAATTTTCAGACTTTTAATTCACACCTNCCACATGTTCTCACTCATTGGTGGGAGCTAAAAAAATAAACAAATTAATTCACTCACATACACACACAAAAGAAACCAGGGGGGGGGTGAAGAAGATATAACAACTATACTTTTTTGAAGTTGTTACAACAAGCAAACGGAACGGACATTCTTGGGGGGGAGAGGAGAGAGGGAGGAGGGAGGGAGGTGTTGGTGATGGGCCATAGTAATCAAATACATTGTATATTGACAAAATAAAAATTTAATGAAAAAAAATAAAAAATAAAAAATAAAATAAAATATGCTGCTCAGAGTATCAGATGAGTTCATTTAATCAGTCTCAAACTGCATATGGGTAGATTAATTTCAAAAGAATTTTTTTTCTGTATTTTAGAGTATTAATTTTCTCCCCACCATTTTTTTTTCTTGGAATACTGCTGGCACAAGCATCCTGGAAATCAATAAATGAATCTAAACATCTTTTCTGTCTTCAAACATTTTTAGGTTAATTTTTAGATTTTAACTTGGAGAGAGAGATTCACTGCTTATTTCACATAGGAAACAGGTTTAATTTGTAAATTTTCCAGTTGAGAACTAATCATTTAAAATTTTATTTTAAAATTACAATACTTTTATTAACAAACAGAGCAGTTGGTAAAAGAAACAACAATAAGGTATCTGTTACCTGATACTTTAATATGTTTTGAACCTATCCGCTTAAAAAAATAAACATGAAATAACTGTGCTTGAGTTGAGGTTCACTTTATGCCAAAAAAGTCCAATGTCTTTTAATTAAAAATAATGCCTCACTGATGTGACCTTTTTG